AGGCTGAGGCACATGAATCACTTGAGGTCAGGAGTTTGAAACCATTCTGGCCAACAAGGCAAAACCTCATCTCTACTAAAAATACAAAAATTAGTTAGGTATGGTGGTACGTGCTTGTAATCCCAGATACCCAGGAGTCTGAGGCAGGAGAATCACTTGAAGCCAGGAGTGGAAGTTGCAGTGAGCTGAGATTGTGCCATTACTCTCCAGCCTGGGCAATAGAGCAAGACTCTGTCTCAAGAAAACAAAACAAAAACAAATCAAATATCAAAAGATAGGTCATTCAGCTGTTTTGAACACTGACTTTGTTTTCTATAAACTGTTTTTTGTGTTGGAAAAATTCTAAGAAGAAAGATGAATAATATTTAGCAGTTGATTAATCTGCCCTCTGAAGCTCACATACTAACTTTTGAAGGAGAACTTTTTACAGACATGACCATATTGCTGTTTTTTAAATTTGTACAAAAGGGATCATGTACACACGGCTCCTATTTATCTCTCAGCGTGCGGAAGGTAGTGCCTTGTAAAATGTTGGACTTAGCTAATCATGCAGCACAGTGTGTCACCAACCAGAGCCAAAGAAAGAACAATTTTGTTTCCTAATACATGACAAGAACTTGGTCTCAAGAGTACTTTATAGAGAAGTAGTCTGAGTGGACAGTTCAGTTTACCTGGAAGCCGGTACTGATTTTTTGTTTGTTTGAGTCCTTTAAAAATTCATGTAAGTGGACCATCAAGGTTCTTGTATTTGAAAGTGCTTTGAACATAGAAAACTTGGGGACCATAGCATTAGTCATAAGTAGTTCTGTTTCAATTTCCTTAACATACATTCTAAGAAATGTATTTGTTGAGTCAAAGATAACATTTTTAAGCCTTTTAATGCTCATTGCCAAATTTTTCTTCAGAAGCATTATACAGGTTTATCCTGCCTTCAGCAAGTTACAAAGGAACAGTTTTACGGTTTTAATTCTCCCAAGCATTGAGTAATTAATATTGTATTTTATATTTTGTATTTTTTTAATCTTTGCTTATTTGAGAGGTAAATAATGTCGTTGTTTGCTTCAACTTGCATTACTTTCATTACCATAACATTGTTTTTTCCTTATACTGTATTTACTTGCTATAGTTTTCTTCTTTTTCCTTCAGATTATCTGTTTTGGTCTATTGCCCATTATTGGGATCTCAATGTTCTTTTCTCATAAATCTTTAAGATCCTTATATATTAAAATATTAACTTATATAGATTATATGCCATTCAGCACATATTTTTTCTCAGTGTTATTGTTCCTTTATTTTTGTATATAGATGTTCTTTCATTCTTAAACTTAGAAAGTTTTCCTTCCTTCCATGGTATAGTTTAATATTCAGTTCCATTTTTTACTCGGTTTTTGTATTTATTGGGTTTTTTAAAAATTTTGTAATCTCCTGAATTGTTCAGAATTAGAATCTCCTTTATCTAATAGGGTCTATTTTAGGTTTTTCTTACGTTCCATTGATCTGGTTATTTTTGTACTGGCATACTTTTACATACCGTATAGGTTTTTATAAAATAATATGCTCATAGACTGGTCTCACTACTTTATTGCCTTCTTCCCCCATCTGTTGCCTTTTTTTAATAAGAAAAAATTAATTTTTACAATTACATCTCATAAGAACATTCTTCACTTTTTTTTTTTTTTTGAGATGGAGTCTTGCTCTATTACCCAGTTGAGTGCAGTGGCACGATCTCGGCTCACTGCAACCTCTGCGTCCTGAGTTCAAGTGATTCTCCTGCCTCAGCCTCCCAAGTACTTGGGATGACAGGTACCCGCCAACACACCTGGCTAATTTTTGTATTTTTAGTAGAGATAGGGTTTCACCATGTTGGCCAGTCTGGTCTCGAACTCCTGACCTCAAGTGATCTGCTCACCTCGATCTCCCAAAGTGCTGGGATTACAGGTGTGAGCCACCGCGCCTGGCCTTCACTTTACTTACAACCATTTACTTCATTTCTTTTCTCTAGCAGGCATGCAAATCTTAAGAGGTGCATTTATACTCCTTTGTTTAGCCACCTAGAACTTCCCAGGTTCTCCTTATTGCTTGTGTTTACTTTTGAATTTGGCCAAAATTTCCTTTCAGACCTTACCTTTCTTCCGTACCTACCTCTGGTGTATAGTTCTCTTAAAAAAATTTATTCTGATTAGAAAAATAGTGCTTATGGGCTGGGTGGGGGTGGCTCACACTTGTAATCCCAGCACTTTGGGAGGCCGAGGCAGGCAGATCATAAGGCCAGGAGATTGAGACCATCCTGCCCAATGGATGAAATGCAGTCTCTACTAAACATACAAAAATTAGCTGGTGTGGTGGCGCATGTCTGTAATCCCAGCTACTCTGGAGGCTGAGGCAGGAGAATCGCTTGAACCAGGTAGTTGGAGATTGCAGTTAGCCAAGATCATGCCACTGCACTCCAGTCTGGCAACAGAGTGAAACTCCATCTCAAAAAAAGAAAAATAGTGCATATTTATTGTAGAAAGTTCAGAAAATATAGAAAAATACAGGGACAGAATAATTTCCTGTAATTTCGCCATTCATTGGTAGCCACATTTTGATGAGTTTTTTCCTCTATATGATCAATCTTAATATACTTAATTATACTAACAAAATTGGGATTACATGTTATATATGGTTTTATCACTTTTTCCTTATGTAAAGTCTATCGTGATTTTCTAACAAATATTTACGTTTGTGTTCCCAACACCCTGCATAGTTTTTGTATATAGTCATTCTGCTGTGAAATAGGAATGATAGTCAATTGTGCAAAGAGTAGTCAGTGGTAGTGGTGTAACCAGTAATAGTCATTAGTAGGCTAGGCGTAATGGCTCACGCCTGTAATCCCAGCACTTCGGGAGGCTGTGGATCACCTGAGGTCAGAAGTTCGAGACCAACCAGGCCAACATGGTGAAACCCCCATCTGTACCAAAAATACAAAAATTAGCCAGGCCTGGTGGCATGCACATATAATCCCAGCTATGCAGGAAGCTGAGGCAGGAGAATAGCTTGAACCCGGGAGGCAGAGGTTACAGTAAGTCGAGATCACGCCATTGCACTCCAGTCTGGACGACAAGAGTGAAACTCCATCTCAAAAAAATAAAAGTTGTTAATAGTTAACATGAGTTAGGCTGTGTCTCAACTTTAAACATACTATAAAATATGGGAGAAAACCCCATGACTATTACCGTCTCCATTTTACAGATGAAGAACAGATATAAAGTGGTTTAATAATTTTCCCACAGGTCCCTTCATAGGAAGTAGTAGGATATGATACCAGGCCTTTTGGTTTCAAAGCCTTTACTCTTTTCTCCCAGACACTTACACTAATTGTTACCCCCTAGTGCTGACCTATAGACTTTTCCTGTGCTCACCCTTTGTATGTCCTTTCGAGTTCTCCATGCTTTGTCCAGGGTCTTTGTGTAGCACTGAAATTCATCACTGGACAGCTTTGTGAGGCAGCTAGGCCGATGCTGCTTCTGTCTGTACTATTAGAGTAGCTAATATGCTCTGACTACATTATGGCTTAGCCTAGCACTGTTGTGTGCACATTACCGTCCATTTCACAGTAACATTATTTTCTAAGTGGAGTAATATGTGGCTGTGGTTTCAATAGTAGTTCCTAGGGAAATGTTATTTTTATTCATCTGCAAGTTTCTCTGTGGTAGTAACCTTTGTCCATCCAGTATTCCTTTGAATTTGTTTAGTTAATACAACTTTACTTTTTAGGATTTTGCTTTGTGACTGGATCATCCTCCAAAGGAAAAGGGAAAATTAGAGTGTTTTTTAGTGGTTAAAAACCTGCCAATCATATATGACTCCAAAGTCAATAGATTATGTCTGTGTTGACACTTTGTTTGCAACCTTTTTAAAGTTGTGATTGCTACCTGATTTGCATTTCAAAATACTCTATGTTGAAAGTAGTAAGTGTAAGTCTGCTTGCATTTTTGCTTTCCTTTTTCTTTTTTTAAATTAAGGCCCATTCTAAATGTAAAAGATAATGCTCAGTTTAAAAAACAAAATCCTCTTGTGATGTTTTACAAGACAATCTGATGTGAAAAGTGGTCTTGGAGAGATTAACCCCATTTTTATGAGGAAGTAATTTTCCCAGAATTTGATCGGAGAATTAAGAAGGATCTGCTTTGAAGGAAAGGGGATGTCACCAGGATACATAATAACTGAAATACATTATGAATAATGTTTTTCAAAAGGTTAAGAGTAAGGAATGACAGACAGTTCTTGATAAAAGGAGGAGGAATCAAGAGGCCCAGGATACGTAAAAATAAAACTGGTTGTAGGGCTTAAAGGGAATGATCTTTTATAGGCAATGTAAGTTATTTGGAGTGAAAAAAAAATACGAGACTACTATAAAATATGAAGGACTTGGAAGATGATAAAGGAAAAATGAAGAACGTAGAACATGGAAGGCACTAGCCCATCAATCTAAATGCTCTTTAGAATGCACTTTGGTAGGAAGAAACTGTAGATGGACCACCCCCGTAGAATGTTTGCATCATTCTTTTTAAGCACTGTATTAGCACTTTTGTGGTTGCATTATTGAAACTTCCATGGTAGTGCAATACCTTTGCATGTAGAATATTCTGTTGAATGAATGTTGAAAGTGATCTCAAGTTACTTGAAATTTGTTTAATGAATCAATGCAATGACAAAATAATTTTCTTAATATAGAAGTTTTTTTGAAACTGGTTATTTGCATGTGTTCTTATAATAAACAAGTTAAAAGCATTTCTTGTAACTCATTGTAGGAACTTGAGTTGCTTTAAGGGTTGTGTCAATTGAGTATGAGTATTTTGGCTGTGGGAGCCAAATGGATAAGGATACACATGTGTGTGTGTGCCTGATGAATATGATAAATTTTGGCCCAGTTTTACAATAGAGAGCATTTTCCTTCTTTGTAAAACCTGAAATTGCATGTCCTTAATACACTTGTGCTCTTTCTGCCATTTTTTCAGGGAAACAGTGCTTCTTAGTCCTACGTCAGCAGCAGTTTAATGTCCAGGCTCTTGTGGCAGTGGGAGACCATGCAAGCAAGCAGATGGTTAAATTTGCTGCCAAGTAAGTAAGCAATTATATCCTGTTGTCAGAATAAACAATGGTGGGAACCAAGACTCCCAGGGGTTTGGACCATTTTCATATATTAACATCAATGCTTCGTTTGTTTAAAAATGTAGTTATTTAAATTGTCAGTTCAGTGTTGCTGAATACATTAAACTTACAAAAGAGAAAATATGGAGCACAGGCTTGAAATTCATTTGGAACTGCTGAAGCAGCACTCTCTACAGACAAGTCACATTTACTTTCAAGTGGAGTAACAAAAAGCCTGGCAGCTTTAACATAGCAGAGCAACTTTATTTTGTTGTGTTTGTTGGGCTTCATTTCCTCCTTCCCTCCCTCCCCCAGTTTGAGATTTGCATATTGAGCAACAAGTTTTCTAACTGAAAAATAAAAGTATATAAAACAAAAGAATATATTTTGGCAAATGGTTTCCTCCAGAAAGAAGTAAAACAAATATGTTAAAACTTTCAGCTTTGACACCAAAAGGGTTTAGGAGAAAAAAGGTAAAACTTGCTTTTTCCTCCTGTACAAGTCTGGGCTGTCTGGCCCAGAGTTTCCCTGTAGAAGCAGCACATTGTTTTGTTCGGCTTGCAGGAGGCAGATATAGAGATAGAAGTGTGGTTGTGCATGCAGTGGCTCTAAAGTGATGAGAGTAGTTTTACTTGGTAGTTGGTAATGTCTCTAGTTTTGTTTCATGTTTTTCTCAATTTCATCTTTCTTTTTTTTTTTTTTTTTTTTTTTTAAGACAGAGACTTGCTCTGTCGCTGGGCTGGAGTGCAGTGGCAAATTTTATTTCCATGATGGTGATCTCAGAAAACATGGGAAAATGGATGGTCTTTATGTTTTAAGTAATAAAGTAATTTCATAGGCATATTTTTTTAAAAGAAAGAATTCCATCAGAGTAAATGATATATTTTTTCTATTCATTTAAAAAATTTTTTCTCTTTAGATACATGCTTTCATAGATGGGTTAATATAGATGGAATTGTGAGTTTTGGAATTGGAAAGAGACTTACAGATTTTCTAATTTAATATCCTAATTTAGCTTTCAGCCCTCCCTGACCCTCTAGCACAATGTTTTACATATAATGGATGCTCAGCAGCTGGTTTTGGTTTAGATATTTATTTATCAAATTCAGTTTTATTACATCATAGTAATACCTGCACTGGGGTTTAAAAACTTCAGTGCCATGAATTAATATCAATTCATTGATGAAATCAGTGGTATTTTAGTACCACTAGCACGGTAGCCCCACCTTTCCCCATCTCCCTCTCCTGCTGCCCAGAGACAGCCACTTATCTTCTACTTGTGTCTTCTGGTAATTCAGTTTGCTTGTTTTGTTTCCTAGTTAGTGAGAGTGTGTGCATTTGTCATCTAGCCTTTTAAGGTCAGTGTGTCTCCTATGTAGTCAAACATAAATGACCTTGGTCCCTAGAAATTTTATCTGCACAGAGAGCCTTCTATAAAAAGAAAAAAGATGGCCCTGGAAGCCACAGACATAGATGCTAAATTCTATTAAATGTACTGAAAAATACTGGAAAAGAGTCAACCTCAAAATAACAAACAACTTTTATAGTTATTGTCTTTTGTACAATAATTTGGTTCTGAAAACTGTTACATGAAGCTGACAGTTACATATAGGAATATAAATTTTTTTTTCCATAAAACTGCATTATAACCTCAGGGTTACATTCCTAAAGCTTCCAGTGGAAAAGTCTTTTGAAAATCCCACTTACCCATAATGTTCAGTGAGAAGCATTCTACTGACAAGTGGGCAGTTAATCCATATGATGTATTTAGAAGCAGACACATTAAAATACTCCATAAATAAGTTAGTATTTCAGATCCTCTCAGAAACTCCTGGGACTTGACTAAGTAACAGTGATTGAGTATATCAGATGTCAATCATAGCTTGATAGCCAAAAGAGCTACTTTCAAATGCCTACCAAACAGAACTTAGTTCACTAATGCCCTCATAAAATTAAAGAACACCTTTGTATCATTATTTTAATAAATTAAAGGCTTTCATTCAAATGAGATGACATGGGTGATCTTTCTTTTAGGCAAGGGAATAATATAGATAATTTAGCCTGGATTTTGTAATTCCTGAAGTGAAACTCCATAAAGATCTAGAGGCAGTTCAGGCTTAACAACTAAATTGTTACTTGATTTTGTAGCTATTTTTAGTCCCTTTAAAAAATGGACTTTATATGATAAAGTAGCAATATGTGGAAAAAGGTTGACATGTTGTAAATTATAAACCTTTTCACTGTTGTATGTAAGTGAATGGAGTCAATTTTATACAATAGGCTCAACATGTGGTACGTAGATAACTATTACACTTTTGGCACAAGTATGTTAAGGAATCAAGCCTGAGTAATTACCAGTAGGTGGATTAATGGCTTTTGCTATCTTGTGAAAAAAGGAAAATTCTTATGGCTAAGACTCTTGGCAAAATAATGATGAGTTTTTAGTTTTTGTAGTTGATTAAGATAATTTTCTTAGGAACATGATTTTATGTTGCAAATGGGTCAGTTTGTCCTTTCTGTGTGATGTCAAACTATACTTCTAAGGTAGTTCAGAACTCCTGATCCTTGGTAGAAGTCTACTTTTAGATGTCAGCAAGAACTTTTTAAAACTTTTTAAGGAAAAAGATATATAGGGTTTTTCTTTGCCTTTTAAAATTCTTTTTTTTTTTTGAGACGGAGTTTCGCTCTTGTTACCCAGGCTGGAGTGCAATGGCGCGATCTCGGCTCACTGCAACCTCCGCCTCCTGGGTTCAGGCAATTCTCCTGCCTCAGCCTCCTGAGTAGCTGGGATTACAGGCGCGCGCCACCATGCTCAGTTAATTTTTTGTATTTTTAGTAGACACGGGGTTTCACCATGTTGACCAGGATGGTCTCGATCTCTTGACCTCATGATCCACCCGCCTCAGCCTCCCAAAGTGCTGGGATTACAGGCTTGAGCCACCGCGCCCAGCTTAAAATTCTTTTCCTAAAAATTGTTATTGTGTTTTATCTAAAATGGGTATGCACTACTCCTTTGTGAAAGCAAAAATTAAGATAACTCTCATACATTTATCTTTCAGATCACTTGTTTAGGTGAACGGATCCTGCTAAAAACAAAAATCTAAGGTGTAAGGTTCACCATTTGGTGAACTGATACTTCTAAAAACAAAAATCTAAGGTGTAAGGTTATTATTGAATCATAAATAGCAATACAAAGAAATTCCTCTTTGTTATTAACACATGAAAAGGAAGAAATTTTATAACCTGCTGTGGTTGTAAAATATATAAATATTCACTGTGGTTATTATTATTGTTATTCACTAACTATATTCATTATTGTTGTACCAAACTACAGAAACCTTAAGTTCACTTGAACTTTGTGTTTTTTGTTTGTTTGTTTTAATTTTGGTTCTTTTTTTGATTTTGAGATGGTGTTTTACTCTTGTTGCCCAGGCTAGAGTACAATGGCATGGTCTCAGCCCACTGCAACCTCTGCCACCCAGGTTCAAGCCATTCTCCTGCCTCAGCCTCCTGAGTAACTGGGATTACAGGCACCCACCACCATGCCTAGCTAATTTTTTGTATTTTTAGTAGAGACTGGGGATTTCACCATATTGGTTGGTCTCGAACTCCTGACCTCAGGTGATCCACCCGCCTTGGGATTATAGGTGTGAGCCATTGCTCCCAATTGACTTTCTGTGTTTTTAAGCATGGAGGATAGTTGAATTTTCTGATATGACACCAGAATTAAAGCAGTATTAAAATTTCTAAAACATTTGAAAGTAAAGTCTTCTGTTTGTTTCTCCACATGAGTTTTTACAGACAGTTGGCTTCAATTTTTTTTGTCTCCTTTTAGTTCTTTATATTTTCTGCCGTGTTACTTGGTTTAGGGCCGGATAGTCCAGTCATTTGTTAAACTAATATTTATTGAATGATACATGCCTTTTTTGCTCCCTCCTTAAGTCCACTCTTGCCAGAAGTTTTATTTTCAGGGCTAGTTTATCTAAAATTTTTAATGGCTTCCTACTTCCAACCATCTCCAATATTCTGCCTGGTGGTTCCCTCACTACAATGTTATTTCCCTGTACTCCCGAGTACATACTGTTCAGATTGGGGACACTCCATGCCTGCAATGACCTCTCTTACTTCACTTCTCATTTTAAAGGCATTGGCCTTATTCATTAATCCTCATTCTTTGCCATTTAGCTTGACCCACATCCTTCATTATCCTCATTGTTTGGTTTCTCTGTTCATTTATTAGGGATCCACATATATATTCTTAGGATGCTGAGAATTATATATATTTATATATATGTATTATATATATTAAAAAGTTTTAGTATACATTTTGATGATAACCTTAAAGTTATATAAGAGTATATTATTCCAGATCATCTTAAAAACCAATTTATAACTGAAACCTGCCATCCTATTCTAGTGCTCTATTAGCGGCATTACTATCTTATTTACAATTGCATTCATGCCAGCTGAAGCCAAATGATACTTACATTCTGTACAAATGAAGGTAGCTTGAATAAAGACACATGCTGATCAATACCAGGTAGTATTTGGTAATTAATGGGAATTCTGAACTCAGAAATGCTTGTACCATTCAAGCAGATATATTAAATTCTCTTTTTGTCTGTATAGGAGCAGCAGATCACTAATAGTATAACAGCTTGATGCAAGGAAAAATGTTTGTATTTCCAGTGCCAGTTAAGTTTCAGATATTTGGTAATTCATTTGGTGCAAATTTTAATTAACAATGCTACATTTCTTAACTTTCACGTAAGCAAGATAGTTTTATAAAATGATTGGCTGATACTTTATTTAAATAAATTGTCATTCTTAGATTACTGTTTGCAGAACTTTGGTTAATTATGAAGCTGAAATGTCCTGACTCTACCTCAGAGTCAATGTTTTAGGTAACTGAACAGGTATTCTTCGTATTACTAGTATATTGAAGTCAGAATACAGAAACAAATTAATTA